CTATCCTATCCTATCCTATCCTATCCTATCCTATCCTATCCTATCCTATCCTATCCTTATTCTGTTTTATTCTATGGCTTGCCCTATTAGTATTGGTGGAAGCCCAAGCTCCCTTGAATTCTGTTGGCTCCTATCTAACTCTAGGTTAGTTGAGAAGATTCCTGCATAGAGACATGATAAATCAATTTAATTGGACCTTCACTGTGGACTTGATCTTTTGCAGCCACGCAGCTACAATTCTTGCAACTCTGAAAGTAAAAATTTCCAGCTGTCCCTTTTTACCATCTGATAAATTAGGGCAGATCCTTTCTAAGTTTCTTTTCTTGCCCCTTATTCAGCTCAGGACTCCCAGTCCTTTATCTCAGAGGTCCCCAACCTCTGGGCCGCGGCCTATTCAGAATTGGGCCATGCGAGTGGTTGGCTGGAGCGTGCGTACGCAGCTCAACTTGCATGCACGTACACGCCAGCCCGCCACTGGTGCAAGGGCTGCATACACACGTGTGCTGGGCTGCCATTTACACAGCTCAGTTCCCTCTCCGCACCCCCAGCGGTCCCCAACAAAGATTGGGGGCTTCTGCTTTATCCAATTGTCTCTTCCAGCATCTCTTCTCTCGTTTCCATGTGCCGTTCTGTTTTTGCACCAATTACCTTGTTCTGGGTATGGTTTAAGGTGCTGTTGGTTGCTACTTTTAAAACCTTACATGGTTGAAGACCTGGATACCTTCAAGCTGTCTTACTTCAAAATCCTACTTGCCTGTTCAACAAGATCTGATTAAGTGGGCTCTCTCCGTATTCCTTCTCTCGGGATCAAGGAAATGGGTCTTCGCAACTGTTGACCCCTTCTTTGGTGGGCCAGCGTTCTGCTGAACACAGCACTAGTTCCTCACTTATTTGTTTTTAGGAAGGCTATTAGAACTCCTCTATTGAAACAGGGAAGTTGAGGCATTTTTAAAGCAGCTTCCTTTGGGGTATTTGTTTCATGTAATGGATGTTTCTAGTTTTTTATATGCAGAGTACAATAGAATATAATAGAAAATGAAGAATAGAATAGAATGCAGAGTAGAGTAGAATAGAATGCAAAGTAGAGTAGAATAGAATAGAATGCAGAGTAGAGTAGAATAGATGAATGCAGAGTAAAGTAGAGTAGAGTAGAGTAGAGTAGAGTAGAGTAGAGTAGAGTAGAGTAGAATAGAATATAGAATAGAATAGAATAGAATAGAATAGAATAGAATAGAATAGAATAGAATAGAATAGAATAGAATGCAGAGTAGAGTAGAATTGAATAGAATGCAGAATAGAGTAGAATAGATTAGAGTAGAATGCAGAGTAGAGTAGAATAAATGAACGCAGAGTAGAGTAAAGTAGTGTAGAGTAGAATAGAATAGAATGCAGAGTAGAGTAGAATAGAATTCAGGGCAGGGCAGGGCAGACTAGACTAGACTAGACTAGACTAGACTAGACTAGAATAGACTAGACTAGAATAGAATAGAATAGAGTTCTTTCTTGGCCAAGTGTGATTGGACACACAAGGAATTTGTCTTTGGTGCAAAAGCTCTCAGGGTACAAGCAACAAGTGATAACTCATGATCATAGTCATCATAAAAATACATTCATCTTGAATCATAAGATGCAACACTTAGTGATAGTTGTAAGATACTAAATAAGCAATCGACATAAACCATACTACGACACTAAATAAAACATTACAATCGTAAGATACAAGTTATTGTCCGAAGAAGATAAGGAGATAGGTAATAGGAAAGATGAGAAGAAGAATAGTAATATAGCCTTACTAGATAGTTCGACAGTGTTGTGGGATTATACTTTGATTACTGCATTTGTAATTTTGTTAATTTATTTATTTTTTGACCTGATACATAGATAAGAGATATTTCTTACGCCACTCACAGCTGTAGGCAATTGGAGAGGCTTGCAAAAGCAACCAGGATGATTAGGGGATTGGAGGCTAAAACCAACAAAGAACGGTTGCAGGAACTGGGTATGGCTATAGTGAAGAGAAGGACCAGGGGAGACAGGATAGCAGTCTTCCAATATTTGAGGGGCTGCCACAGAGAGGAGGAGGGGGTCAAGCTGTTTTCCAAACCACCCAAAGGCCAGACAAGGAATAATGGATGGAAACTGAACAAGGAGAGATTCTACCTAGAAATAAGGAGAAACTTTCTGACAGTGAGAACAATCAAGAAGTTCTCCAGAAGTTGTGGGTGCTCCATGACTGGAGACTGGATAGCCATTTGTCCAGAATAGTATAGGGTCTCCCCTGGTTGGGGTTGGACTACAAGACCTCTAAGGTCCCTTCCAAAAGTCTCTGTAATATCTGTATGCTCGGTAAACGAATAAATATTTAAATAATTCACATCAAGCGGGAAAGAAGCATTATTTGACATTTCATTTCCACCATTGTCTGGCTCCCTCTCGCAGTCCCAAACAGTGTGCATATTTTTCAGGGCTGTAGCGAGGAGCAGATTTATCTCCCAAGTGATGTACTGCAAAAAATTCATCAACGCATCTGAGAAGCAAACCCTTCATCCTGGCACTTTTTTCTTCCAGATACAATTAAGCATTAATGAAGCTCTTCCAATGAATCCTTTGGTGGACTGAAAGCAAATCATGCATGACGGGCAAGAAATGCTAATAATTCTTTGATTGTTTTGAGGGGCAGGCTAATAGGATAGCCAATTGTTCTAATGGTCCGCCATTAACTTTGGGGGGGGGGATTCTGCTCATCGGTTGCCCTCAACAGCTAATAGAGTGTGAAAAACCTGTGGAAGAAGGTCTCTCGCGCACAGTACAAGAAAAGGATGTGGATATTTACGCATTCTGTAGTCAAAAAGTTAGCTAATTGTGGAGGAGGGATAGGTAAAGGTAAAGGTTCCCCTTGCACATATGTGCTAGTCGTTCCTGACTCTAGGGGGCGGTGCTCATCTCCGTTACAAAGCCAAAGAGCCAGCGCTGTCTGAAGACATCTCCGTGGTCATGTGGCCTGCATGATTCAACCCCGAAGGTACATGGAAGGCTGTTACCTTCCCACCAAAGGTGGTCCCTATTTTTCCACTTGCATTTTTTACGTACTTTCGTAAAATAGAACAGAACAGAACAGAACAGAGGCTTCTCTCAAGCCTCTGGGAGGGCGAAAATGGTCTTCCCTAGGCTATGGAGATCCTCCAGAAGCCAGAAACAGGCCCGTTTCCGGACTTCTGGAACTTCCGTAGGGGCTGTTTTTTGGCCTCCCAGAGCTTCCGCGCGGGCCCTGCACTTACCTGCATCCAAAACAGGCTGTGTGGAGACTTCTGGGAGGGGCGTGGTGGGCGGGGCAGCCGACCGTTTCAGCAACTGGTTGGGCGAACCAGGTGTAAATTTAACATCCGGTTCGCCCGAACCGTCCCAAACCAGCTGAATCCCCATCCCGGATTATACTGACTCTTTTTATCTTTCTTAAGGAAGGAAATAAAAAAACCTTTTTACCTGGGTTTCTATTCCTTGTTCGAGCAACCTTTTGGCCTGGTTTTCTACTTCGAGTCGAGCTCTTGCAATAAAAAGCAGTTCGTTTTCAATTACCTCAATTCCAGAAAGGTCTATTCCTTGAGAAAGGTAATCTATAAAAAGAATACAATATGGATAATTACCCCCAATTCTAAAAATAACAGTGAAACAAATCCAACTTTCTAGGTGCACTGTAATGTCACAATTTCATGTACGCAGGCATGGGTTACACCTTGAGTTATCCTAGAAGGGACGAGAAGTATTATTAATCAATACTAAAATACCCCACACCAAATTTAATTGCTCTCATTATTTTTAAATCTTTCCACTCTGGAAACAGAAAGGTAAGAAATACACTACGGGTTAAATTTATTTCGTTGAGCTACCACCATGAATAAATAAATGAAACCCCCTTCGTCACATAATCAAAATTCAGCCACTTGGCAACTAACTCAGAGTTATGACGGTTGCAGTGCCCCGGGGTCATGTGAATCCCCTCTTGTGACCTTCTGACAAGCAAAATCAATGGGGAAGCCAGATTCACTTAACAATCATGTTCCTAACAATTGCAGCGACAATTGTTGCTTAACAGATTGTGGCAAGGTAGGTTACAAAATTCACTTAACAAATGTCTCCCTTAGCAACACACATTTTGTCGTTGTAGGACAAGGACTACCAAGGACTGCCACTTCATAGGTTGTCCGTTTCATAGTACCGACTGCAATTAAACAATCAAACGAATGAATGAATAATAGAATAGAATAATAATAGAATAGAATAATAACAGAGCACAGAGTAGAGTAGAATAGAATAATGATAGAGTAGAGAGAGTAGAGTACAGTGGCATAGGAATAGGAATAGGAATAGGATGGATGGATAGATAGAATGGAATAGAAAATACGATAGGATAGGATAGGATAGGATAGGATAGGATAGAATTCTTTATTGGCCAAGTGTGATTGGACACACAAGGAATTTGTCTTGGTGCAAATGCTCTCAGTGTACATAAAAAGAAAAGATACATTCATCAAGAATCATAAAGTACAACACTTAATGATAGTCATAGGATACAATAAGCAATCAAATCATACTAGGAAACAGTAAAAATCGTTGGAATACAAGTGACAAAGTTACAGCCATACAGTCACAAGTGGGAGGGGATGGGTGATAGGAACAATGAGAAGATTAATAGTAATAGTAATGCAGACTTTGTAAATAGTTGGACAGTGTTGAGGGAATTATTTGTTTAGCAGTGGGATGGCATTCAGGGAAAAACTGTCCTTGTGTCTAGTTGTTCTGGTGTGCAGGGCTCTATAGTGTCGCTTTGAGGGTAGGAGTTCAAACAGTTTATGTCCAGGATGTGAGGAGTCTGTAGATATTTTCACAGCCCTCTTTTTGACTCGGGGTGCGGTATAAAGGTCCTTGATGGAAGGCAGGTTGGTAGTAATTGTTTTTCTGCAGTCCTTATTACTCTCTGAAGTCTGTGTCTGTCCTGTTGGGTTGCAGAACCAAACCAGACCGTTATAGAGGTGCAGATGACAGACTCAATCATTCCTCTGTAGAACTGGATCAGCAGCTCCTTGGGCAGTTAATAACAATTGATTTTATTGAAGAACAGATCTATGATAAAAAAAATTTCTCCCCTTCTCTTTATAGATAGTTCAACTAATTTCACCGTTTTCCTAAATTAGCTAGTTCTGTCTCTAAAAGATGCAGCCTCACACTGGGCCTGCGTTTCTTTATGTACAAGATTTCTCATCCACTCTTTCAATCATTCTTCAACATAAACAACAACTTATAAAGCAACGGGCAGAAATGAACATCAATCATTGTGACACTTGATCTGTGCATCAATTGTAAAAGTCATGGTCCAGTTCAGTTGCGTGCTGCATCTTCGAATCTGTTTTTACATTATTTCTTTTTTTGTATTTTGTCTGAAGATGGTGCCTAGGTATATTTTAAGGAATAAGTACGATTTCGGGTCAAGGTGAATGCTAAAGTCACTGAAGCATGCCCGAGCAACCGCAATGCCAGATTTGGAAGACATATTTTACACGCACCAGATGTCAGTCTCGAATCCCTCATCTGAGGCACCGAAGCAGAGACGGGTTTAATTTAAAGTAGTTTCACTTAAGTCCATTTGAATCTTTGCTGTCAACTCCTGCCTCTTCGTTTGACTTCTGCTTGTAGCTACAATCCATCAAGCAGCAATTTTATGCCAGGCAGGAGTTAGCATTTTGGGGAATATACGAACGCTTCTGAAGGATTAAAATAAAATTAAATTAAAAAAAACAAGGGGAAAAAGCTGCAAAACAGAAATTTTAAGAAACCTTTCTTGAATGCTGTCATTTCACGCCCCACCTAAAACACCCCTCCGGATGATCTCTACTGCCTCCTACCCCTTCTGTGTTCCCACTCCAATCTCTCAAGAGGATCTAAAAAGAACGGCAAACAAAGCAGCTCAACCAAAGCTTTTTATCCCAGACTGCAGGTGGCAAGGGCGATATTATCTGGAACTTAACAAAGCTCCTTGCAGAGCAGAAATGTTGGAGAAGCTTCACTAACGGAAGCAATTGTTCTGTTGCCATTGACAGAAATGCTGAAGTGGAGCCAGGAAATACATCTACAAATATAGGAGGCTGCTGTCAACTATCCATAAAGCTAGAAGCAGAAAATACAAAACCTACTTGTACTACAGAATAGGACAGGAAAGGAAATTGGATGGGGTGGAGTGGGGTGGGGTGGGGTGGAAGAATAAAGTAGAGTAGAGTAGAGTAGAGTAGAGTAGAGTAGAGCAGAATGCAGGGCAGGGCAGAATAGAATAAGAATAAGAATAGAATAAAATAATAATAGAGTAGAATAGAGTAGAATAGAATAGAATAGAATAGAATAGAATAGAATAGAATAGAATAATAGTAGAGAGAGTAGAATAGAATAGAATAGAATAGGAATAGGATGGATGGATGGATGGAATGTAATGGAAAATACAATAGGATAGGATAGGATAGAATAGAATTCTTTATTGGCCAAGTGTGATTGGACACACAAGGAATTTGTCTTGGTATAAATGCTCTCAGTGTACATAAAAGAAAAGATACATTCATCAAGAATCATAAGGTACAACACTTAATGATAGTCATAGGGTACAAATAAGCAATCAAATCATACTAGGAAACTATCAATATAAATCGCAAGGATACAAGCAACAAAGTCACAGTCTTTGTAAGAGAGGAGAAGAGAAGGGGAGGGGAGGGGAGGAGAGAAGAGGAGAGAAGGAGGAAGGGAAAGGAAGGGAAGAGAAGAGAGAATTCTTTATTGGCCAAGTATGATTGGACACACAAGGAATCTGTCTCTTACTGTTGTAAGTGGAGGACTACCTGTTATGGATGAGCAAGCCCATCTTACTTTGATGGGACTGACAGTCCCAATCCATCTGGTCCTCAGATGGAAATTAATTCAGAGATCTATTTCTGATCATGGTTCGGTCAATCCCAGATTTTAATTTTTGCCTCTTCCTCTTCACAATCTCCTGAGGAAAGGCAATTCTTTGTTGTTGTTGTCGTTGTTGAGGAAAAAGGAGCAGCTTTGCGTTTTCAGAGTTACCTGTTGGCATTTTGGTTCCTTCACTGAGCAGCTGGTGCTTTTTTTAAAAAAAAAATATTCATTTGATTTCATTTTGAACTGAGCAAAGCATGACAAGAATAACTCGAGAGCTCCTTTGGCTACTTCAGCTCGTTCCGAGCTTTGAAGCTAGTCAGACACAAGCTTCAGAGGTAAAGGACACCTGTGTGCATTATTTTATCATGACCTGGTGCTTTTTCATAATCTCTATGTATCGTCTTTTTCCCTTTTCTTTTAGATCTTCACTAAGCTTTCTTTTCTTTTGGTAGCCTCTTCGGTTTCTTCTTGTCATCTATGTTTCCTCCTGCATAGAATTGTTTGCAATTATGATGTGCCTTTCTTTAGCAAACCTATCTTCCTTGATCTTCTTTTCCTGGTAGTTTCTTTCATCACACAACCTTACTTATAATTCGCCTAAATTGACCAGTATCTAGGTCCCCGTCGTCACCCCCCCGCAAAGCTTAAGATACACGTTTGACATTACTCTGTTTTAGTGGTTGTTTCTATTTGATCGTGGCTATGTATTTGGTGATAGTTTCTGGCTATCTCTTTTCAGTCTATCTTTTTTCCATCCATCCATCCATCTCTATCTATCCATCCATCTATCTATCCACCTGTCCATCCACCTGTCCACCTATCCATTTGTCCATCCATCCATCCACCTGTCCATCTATCCACCTGTCCATCCACCTGTCCACCTATCCATTTGTCCAACATTCCATCCATCCATCCACCTGTCCATCCATCCACCTATCCATTTGTCCATCCACCCACCCACCCATCTATCCACCTGATCATCAACCTGTCCACCTATCCATTTGTCCATCCATCCATCCACCCATCCATCTATCCACCTGATCATCCACCTATCCATTTGTCCATCCATCCATCCATCCATCCATCCATCCATCCATCCATCCATCCACCCACCCACCCATCCATCCATCCATCCACCTCAGGATCCAATGTAGCACACATTGGCTCCATATTCCTGAAACCCCCATATTGTTCCAGCAGATTGCAATTAACTTCACATAATCCAACTAGACCGAGCCATTTTATACGTACGCCTAGGATATCCTGCTTTTTTTAATAATAAATTTTATTGAATGTGCATTGATGTCACAACAAAAACTATGCTTCAAAATATAAGGAAAGCCTCACCAACTTCCCTCCAACGTAAGAAAAAGATGCCTGGTCATTCTCATTCTTAGTTTAACATTAAGCCAAATCAACATCAGCTCAAATCATATCCTGGAACATTAGCAATGCACAATGGTTGCATTTCACAGTATGGGTAGAATATGTTTTTTAAAAATCATTTTTATGATGCATTTTTAAGTATTGATAACATTACCACTTTAAATATAACGTCCTAAAAAGAAAAAAAAAAGACCATAGAAATGAAAAACCTTTATGAAATTCTGAATACATCTTGAAAAAGGCAAATTGCATTAAGGAACAATGTGCTAAGAGACTGGTTGCTAACACA